GTGAGGTACACACAGTTTAGATGAATAGAAATATGAAGCCGCATTAACACCACGAAACGCTTTATTCAAGCGGGTAAATTCGAAATTAGGATAAATCGAATCATTTCAAGTGCGATAAAACATATCTCTATAACAATATTAAAATGGATATTTGTTCACAGCTATAAACAAGGAGAGAGAGAGAGAGAGAGAGAGAGAGAGAGAGAGAGAGAGAGAGAGAGAGAGAGAGTGTGTGTGTGTGTGTGTGTGTGTGTGTGTGTGTGTGTGTGTGTGTGTGTGTGTGTGTGCGAGTGAGTGTTTATGTATCTATGCACATAGCAAAATTCCCCAATGTCTAACAATTAGAAAATAACCATGTAACATTCCAACTTCTTTGCCAAATAAAGGTCTTGGATGAACGCAAACCATACAATGCCTTGCTAAGTCGGCCCTGTTTTTGAACCAACTCGTGTTTTCGGTCTCAAAACACCTTCCCTCAAGCAATATTCTGAAATGCTTCAATATCTTTTTCTCGTTTCCTTTCCACTCCCGGTTTTCCTTCCAAAAGAGTTTCAGATTAACGCAAATCATATAATGCCTTGTTAAATCCTTCATATTTCCACAGTTCCTTCCGCAGTGCTCGCATTCAATCAAAAAACAGGTCCTGGCCTTCGAATCAACCGGGTCTTTTTTCGGCATATTATCGTAAATCCTCCTCCCTTCTTCCTCTCTTTCTTTCATCAACCTCCTCTTCTTCCTTTCTCTTCCCTTCCTTTCTTCATTTCATCCCTCGTTCCCTTCTTCTGCCTTCCTTGCAGCTCTACGCGACTGGTGGTGGTAGCTACATAGATTTCTGTAAAGATGACAAACGTTTGATATACTACGCATTTTTGTTTATCTATTTATTAATTCTGTTCATTTATTTTTTATATTTCCATTTTATTTATTTACTTTTTTAAAGATGGGAATGATTTTGCCATTTTGTTTTTTTCCCATTTCTTTCTTTACATCGTTTTGGATGTCTCCAGAGTGAGAGAG